AGTTTTAGAAAAAAAACTTAAAAGAATATTCTACATATTTTTGATATCTAAAATATTATTTGCAACGATTAAATTTTCTTTTCAGGCAGATCAAACATTTCCTCGACAAATTATTCAACAGATATCAACAGATATATCTATAAAAGAACAGCAAGTTGAAGTGACAACTACTGCAATAGCTTCTACTGAAATAGAAAAAAATCTGAATGCATCAAATAAACCTAGTCGTCGTAAGTAAATTATATTTGAATGATTTGAGACGAAACTATCTAGTTGATTAGATTGAGTCTAACTGAAAGAATTGATGTCGAATGATGTTTAAACAACACCTTTTAACTGTTTATACTTTGATGAAATTATATCAAATAGATCTTGACGGCATTGATTTTTTATTTTCTAGCAAATTTAAATCGACAACAACAACATATACAATCTGAAGAAGATAAACAAGATGAAATAGCTACCTCAATGAGAGTAACAACTAAAAGTCTTTTAAATAATGCAAAACTTCTTCATGATGTTGTTATAAGTGATCAAAAAGTTTGTTTTAATTGTTTTAAATTCATTCTTTCAATATTCAATAATGATTTATTTTTTTATTTTTTTTTTGTTAGAAAATTACTGAAGCAGAAAATTTAATTGATAATAATACAGCTAAACTCACAATACAAGGCAAACGTTTAAAACACAATGCATATAACGCATCTAATTGTTGGATATATTTAATGCTTATTATTGTTATTATTACATTTATTTATTTAACATTATTTATGCGAATGTTTCGTAAACGAACAGTCACAATAATACATTCAAATACTGGTTCGAAATCAAGTTCATTAAATCTTTCTAATAATGAAACAACAATTAACACTTCAAATATAACAACAACGACGAAATCTACAGACTATATAAGTTTATTATTAAATTATGCGAATGAAAATCATACAGATTTATAAAATAAAATAAAGAATATTATTAATATTATTAATAAAAACTAAAAGAAAACTAAATAAATCCAACGAGAAGAAAAAGAAAAGAGAAATGAATAGCAACCATAATCATCGACAGAAATATGACACTTTTCTTTTTCTGATGCTTTGCCTATGGCCCAACAAAATTTTTTTTCTATTGCATTGTTCTTTCTTTCGCGCCGTGATCTCTTTTCTTTAGCGCATCTTTTTTGCCCGATGGCTTACATTGATTATTTGTTTGTATGTATGCCATTTCTAAATATGAGAGAGAAAGAAATAGTCAAATACGACCAGAGAGAGGGAGAGAGAGAGAAACAACAATATATGTGTTTCTTCCGCTTTGGTAGAAGACGACTGTAGATGATTTTTAAGCTATCGTTTCTTAGTAGTCCCTTATTGCAAGCGCATTTCTAACTATTGCAATCCACTGTTATTCGCTATTCATGAAACAAAAGAAAAATACAACTGCTGTGCACATAATATGACGAGAAAAAAAGCATTAGCATCGTTATTAAAAGTGCCTATTAAAAATTCTCGAGCACAGTAAGGTGTGTTTTTTTTCTTTTTTCTCCGTTTTTTTTCAATTGAATCATCAGATTTTTATTGAAAAATGAGAGTTCTTCAAATATTCTAACGTATAGCATGCACTAAAGTAAGGTAACCATCATTTGTCTACTAGTATTGAATGAACATTAAAGAGAACAACGAGATGAAAACGTATAGACTATTTACTCATATCGATGTTTATTTCTTTTATTTATTTTAGTAAGATTTCTTTGAAGTTGACATTACCTGACTTTAAATAGAAATCTAGACAACGATTTTTCTCGCTTTCTAATCTGGAATCCCTCATATTTATTCTAATCACAACAGTTTCCCTTCTCATTTCCTTTTTTTATGTCGGTCTCGATCATTTTCTACCTTCTGCTTTTTTTTGTGTCACTAGCTAGTTGACATTCGTATGAATGTTAAGTCTTGAAGTTCGAATAATTTATCCCGACGATGAATGATTTCCTTCGAGAGACTTTTGTGTTTAAAACATCTTCAAAGGTGATTATAGGAAAAAATTGGCATTAAGAAATTTTTCATCGACGACAGGAAGAATAATATACATATACATCTCGTTTTTCTATCAACAAAGTATTCTCGTATGTTTCTCCATGTATCTAAGTCAATAATGACATTTGAGTTTGATGTTTTCAATGTTGATCTAAGTACTTGTCTTCTTCGTTCTACGATGTTTCTATTTGGCATCTTTGATGAATATGTTATCTTTTAATGAATGATTTGAATCGAGTAGTATTGCTCTTCTTTCTTTTTCTTTGTGTCAAAAAAAAAAAAGAAAACGACCGTACCAATATGATCAACACGTGTAATCAGAAATCATTCGAGCACATGAATTGATCTCTGTAGGCTATGATAATATGACGAGTGAAAACGATGCAAAGAACGTAATAATGATTTTATGATTTCCAAGTAAGTCGCAAGAGAGACATACTAGCAGCTATTGATCATGCATGCAAGCATGAAACAAAAATATAGCGCGATGGACAAGCTCACTTTGATGAGAGCTCTCTTTTCTTTTTTTTTTTCTTTTTTTTCTTTATTTCCGTTTTCTTCTCTTTTTCTGCATTTGTCTAGTACTTGCTATTCAGAGCGTTCGTCTCTATGAGAGTTCTTGTGCAGCTCTGTCAAATATATCACTCTAATTTGATAGAACTGTTTTGTTGTTTCGCACAAAAGCAAAAGAGCGCACCCGACAGTAACGCTATTAAAAGAAGTCATAATGGGCGCTTTTGGACAACTACTATAGATAGTTATTGTATTAAGCAGATTTGATATTTTCAAACAATAAATAGAGGAAGAAGCAACTAACAAGAACATGATTAAAACATTTTACAAATTATATTCTTTTAGCGGTTGTTTCTCTCGTTCTTGTAGAAATATGATGAGTCGTTCAACCAATAAGTACTACCCTTAAGGTACTACTGGTCTTCTTTATTATCATGGTTGTATCTAATGAATAGCAAAGCGTGTGTATGCATGTGAAAAATTCTTTATGTTGATTGCCGTTCAATGGGGAATTCGTTCACTTGAGCAAGCGAAAAACAATCCATGTAAAGTATTCACTCAGCTTGCGTGGCTAATTTTCGGCAGTGTATGGAACTAATTCAGTTAGGGACTGCACTACAAATAATAGCTTGCATGCCTATATATATATAGATATATATGTATATATCTATATATATATTGTTTAAAGTAATCTAAATCTAACCTCTTTAAATTTATTTTTATTTATCCTTGATACAGTCAATTTATAGAAAAAAGATTATTATCTATGAATGAAAACAGGTGAGAAAATAAACTCTGGAATAATAATAATAATAATAATAATAAAAATAATAATTATGTATGGTTTGAATAACAAGACAGCTAATATACGTGATGATCGATGACTTTCATACAACAATGACATATATTCTTGTATTATTATAGCACACACAAATAACAGATAGTATTTTCTATGCAACATGGAGAAGAGAAAAAGGTACAATGTATGACTGTTGTTACCATCGTCGATTACCTTTTTTTTTTTTTTTTGTTTTCCAAAATATGAAGAAAGAAAGATAATAAGAGAATGAGAGAAAAAACAGGAAAAGGAAATGAAAAAAATTCGACTAGTATATCAGGCTGTGTTTTTATATGAATGTGTGTATTTGGCTTGTCTCAAAGAGCTGATGAGAGAGAGAGAGAGATGGAGATCAGATGCAAGTATAAACTACGAGGTTTTATGGATTTTTACTTGTCTGTGCTTCTTTTTTTTCTTGTTTTGAGAAAAACATTCTTGTCAAACAAGTGTACATGTATTGACATCTGTTTTAGCATAAAATAGTGAGCATGATCGATCATATTAGAGAAAAATAGAGAATTCAACGAAATATATCTATATTATTCATGTTTGTTTTTGAGAAAGAAAAAATTTCTTATTTTGAAGATAGTCAAACTACAACTCTTTTTTGTGTCTATTTCATTCTTTTTCTTTCCGTCTAATTGGATTTTTATGACGATATAATCTGAAGACACCGTTAAAATCTACATAGACATATATAGATGACTTGATCTGATATCGTATGTATATGGTGTGATTTTTCTCTCGAGGTCTCTTATCATCAACTCCCATCATCATGTCGTTTTTCTTTATAAGCTTGTTGATCCAACATTAAAGATGGCCGTTTTTTCGTACTTTTTCCTTCTTATTAAGAATGTACAATAAACATACTCATAATGCTTATGATACGTAATAGGTTATTTGATCAATACTCCAATAACTGTTTACTAGGAAACCTACTGTTAGGTGAATGGAAATAATTATCATTTGAAAGAGATGCGCAAAAAAACAACAAGATCAAGTGAATGGCTGAAATGGCACGATTGATTGCTGTTTGCTTTCGAATGTGAAAACCTAGATATATTTGAAATTAAGGGAAATATTGATTTCTTTTTCGTAAGACATTTTCTGGTTCTCTCTCTTAGTTGTCATCCTTGTTCGAACAGTGAATATTGTTTTTTGAGGCGGGAAGAGAAGGAGATAGCGCGATTCTCAAGAGAAAGATAAGATAGGCTAGCAACAGCCGCAGTCAGCCTTATTTTCTTTTGTCTCTCTCTCTCTATCTTTCCCTCGCTTTTTTCTTCTGTGCTGGTTTCTCTCTTACAGTAAAAAGAAATATTATTTATTGTTTCATGCTTCTCTAGGCAACAAATATTTTCAGAATCTATCACATTCGTTCGACGAAACGTTAGTAATGATAATGATAAAACAATAATCACGATGATATTGCCGGCGACCAGGTGAAGAAGATTTTTTTGTATACTTTTATCACCATATGGCCTCGCCCGCTCGGGCTCGTTCAATTGGTACCCATAACCTGATTTCAGTGCATCGAGCCAAACATAAATTGATAAATAATATAATTAACGTTTCTATAAAAATCGAATCGAAGTCTTTCCGACTTTATGTTCGTCGATTCGATGGACTGTTTTTTAACATACAATCTCTCGTGTGTCAATGGTACTTTTGCTCAGTTCAATACGTCGTCAGTTATATTTGGAGACGTAATCGATCCAAGTGTTATAACCGATGGCGACAGTTCAAACAACGACCTAACAGCATCAACAGATCATCCAATATCATCATCGATACTTGTGTCTGTACAACATTGTATATTAACAGCAATTATTCTTGGTACAATTATATTAGCGACAATAACTGGAAATATACTAGTTATAGTTGCTGTTAAAATCGAAAAAAGTCTTCATTCAGTTGCCTATTATCTTTTTGTATCATTAGCCGTAGCTGATTTAATGGTAGCTTCTATGGTAAGTCATTAATAACTTCAATTTGTTTGTTTCTTTTCTTTATTTTTGTTTCTTCTTTAAACTGTCCAATTATAATGATAAAGAAATATATGAAAAACGAAGAAAATGGAATAGGGAAAAAAAAGATCATTGTTTTTCAATATCTCGATTTAATTAATCTTAGTAACTGTCCTAATGGATAGTTTGACATATATTATGAAGCAGTCTTTGACGTTCGTATATCCATCCATCAGTCTTTATATCTAAAGTAGTTTTTGTTTCTCGTTGTCTATATCTATTCCTATTAAGAAATTGACGATATGTTAATGCTGTTGACAGAAATTCTCGTTCTACAACAAGACTATAATGAAAAGAATTATGACTGTATGTCTTGAGTTTTGTCTTAGTTATTTCATAAATACGTGTATTATATACATTTGTTGTTTCGTAGCAAAAAAGAATTGTTTCTTGATGACCTACATGTGCTAGAACAGTATTATCTTCATGGTTCTTTCTTCCTCTTTTTGTTTGATGATAACATGAGAAGAAAAAGTCGACAGTCTCATTTCGACATGTATACAAGTTTTTTTTTCTGATTACTTAATGCTATTGCCTTCGTTTATTCAAGAACAAACAAATAAATAAACAAATACACTCGACTTATTTATGACGTCAAGACGAGCACAAATAATTGGTTCGACCAAATGATCCTTGATTTTAGAGATAAACGATACACTGAAGACGATCCACTCTGCTTAATATCTATCTATCTATAGATATAAACATGTAAAAAAAAAAAAAAGATTTTTCTTTTTTTTTGCTTAAAGCAATCGAAAAGCGTTTACTATATTCTAAAGTTGATAGAAAACAAAGAATAAACCAGCTGCTACTGCTGTTACTATTTCTATTATTATTGTTTTTATTGTTATTATTACGAAACATGAGTGATGATTGTGATGGATATATTGATAGAAAAAGAAAAGAAAGAGAAAGAAATATTCTCATCTGATTTTGCTTCGACTCGTTTCTCTCTTATTCTCGTTGTGCATGGTTACAGTTTGATTTTATTATTATAATTATTATTCAATGCCACGCACAATCTTTCTCCTATTCTATATACAATATAGAAAGATTCACATGCATTATTTTTATTCTATTCTTTTTTTGTCATTCCATCATTCAGTTATTTTCTTTTCTTCTGTTGTTTTTTGTTTAACACTCGAGTTTTTACTGATGTTTACTACATCGATCTCTGTCATTCTTCTTTTCTGAATGTAAGATTGTAAAAGACTAGAAACTAAGAACAAAAAAGCAAAATAAGGACTGAATCACAATAGAGAATTTTGTGAAAATTGATGTTATCAAATCTTTTATAGTAAAAAAAGACACATCAAACATTGGTTTTGTTTCATAGGTTTTTTTTGTTTTGTTCTTCTTGTTTGTTGTCTAATAAGTATAGTTGTCTTTATTTCAATGAAAATTCATCTACCTTACATACTTATAGATATATTTCGTATGTGCATAGACAAGTAAACTTTGAGTCTGTCATCATCAACATTACCACATCAGCATTTGGAATGAGGCATATTACCCGTCTGATTAAACATGTCGATCAACAATAACAACAAAAGCAGTGGCAGCAGAGTTAGTCAGTTGAATTATTTGCTTGTCATTCGACATTAGCATCTTTCTCTCTTGTATATATATATATATGTATGCATGCTATGGATGATTATTCTTGGAATTTTCTTTGTCTATATATAAAAGAATCTTTTTTTCTCTCTTTCATATATACGGACAGACTTCGTTGACTTATTCCAATAACTATTTACTAAACAATAAATTAGACGTATGGAAGTATGTTGTCACATCAATGTTTGTCAAGTGGCTATACAGATCATACATACTGATAGCAAATGAGTTACGATGTACAAAGAAGTCAATGTCATTTATGTGGACTGTCAGATAGCATAATTGCACTCACGCTATGTAGAAACCATGCCATTCAATATATATATAGTTATAGATATAGATATATAGAATGTTGGTTAGTTGTTTTTCAAGTGTCCTTAGTGTACATGTACAAACAGATCGAAATTCAATAGGCACAAGTTAAAAGAAAATAACGATAGAATGAATAGCAGATGTGTGTAAAATTGATGCTTATGATAAGAAGATAAAAAAGAAAAATGAATCAACTAATAAATATAATAATTATATTTATTTACAGAATAATAAAAAGCAAATTAGTGACAATATAATGTTTGTTGAACCAATTTATAATATAAACAGAAAAAATATGATTATGCTCAAATAGAATTTCTTCTTTAGTAACATTGTGAATAATGATTGATTAGTATAATATTGGAAGACATTTCTACTAAAAAACAATTATCTAATCGATCAAATATAAAAAGAAGAATTTTTATTAGATGAAAAATATTTCTCAAATGAAACAAAAAACAGAGAAACATTGATCATTTAAAATAATATATATGTATATTTATTTAGGTTATGCCAATAGCTGTACTAAAAGAAGTGACACGTTCATGGGTACTTGGATCAATAGTTTGCGATGCTTGGGTTATGATTGATTTACTTTGTTGTACGGCTTCTATATTACATCTTGTTGCCATTGCACTCGATCGATATTGGGCTATTACTAACTGTAAGTAACTGATAGGATCATTATTGAAGATTAAATTGAGAAGATAACGATACATATCCTTTGATCGAATCAGAAATCTTTTACTAAAAATATTAGCCATCAGTGACAAACATTGACATGAATAACCACTAGAAGAGAAAACATAGACAAATTTAATGTCTTTAGAAACTACATTGTCCATTTTTAATAATTTTTGCGATATATACTTTATCAATATGACTATATATGACTTGTTTCGATATGAAAATCGATATATTTTCACAGTTTTAAGATTGATCAGAGGTTTTTTTAATGTTAATTTTGTGTACTAATCAAAACGTTATAGACAATATTATTTTTCTATTCTGATTTTTGTTTTCAAAATTCAATAATTTATTGTAGTAATTTATCTTAATGTTACACCTTTATATTTCAAAAAATATAGATTTTCAATAGAAAAATAATATTGATTCAAAACAATACAGATAATGCTAGAATGAGAGCATTTATTTAAAACTTTCGCTTGAATTTTTCTTATTAACATTTTTAACATTAGGTAGACTAATAAATTACTTTATTTATTTATTTTTTCTTTATACAAAAAAAATCAGTGGACTATGCAACAAAACGTACACCTGCTCGTATTCTTATTCTTATATGTATTATATGGGCAACATCCATACTTATATCAAGTTCTCATCTATTTCCTATATTTCGTGACAAACGTGGTCGTCCACCAGGTCAATGTCATTTAATTGGCAATGTACCATATACTATTATATCCACAATTGGAGCTTTTTATATTCCTCTTATTGGTATGTGTATTATTTATTGGAAAATTTTTCAAGCTGCTAAATTTCGTATACGTCGAAAAGCATTCAATCCTGATCGTACTATACCACTACCATCATCAAGTATGAGAGCAACCGTAACATCAACATTAATTCATAATCCACATGATGTTTTATTATCTTCTGAAATTGCAACATTAAATCATGAAATAGCATTAACAGATAAGACTAAATATCAATCATTTTCTCCATTACAATCAAAAAAACGACATTCAAAAAAACATCCTCATTTATCTAATCATCATCCATTTGATATTGAGACAGATGCGTCAACAAATCAATCTAATAATGATTATCAATTAAAAAAGCTTAAAAAGACTTCGTCTTCTTATACTAAAAAGAAACATGATAGTATTATAACTACAACAGAAACAACAACAACAACACCTGTTATTCAATTATCTACAACAAATCGTTTCAAACAAGAACATGATGAATTACATCGAATTAATTCAACACCTTCACCTGGGTCAACACGTCGTTTAACAACATCAACATCTAATAAAGATTCACCAAAATCAATCGATAGAATAAATAATTCATTAGTAATATCAAATTCTTATCCATCAGATTCAACACATACTATTGATACATCAACAATAAAATCAATAACAAAAACTTGTTTAACTAATATAAATGATATTAATTCTCATAACAATAACAATAATAATAATAATAATAATAATAATAATATAAAAATTGTAACAAAATCTCCAAGTTCAGCATCACGTAAAAAAATTGATATTAAACGTGAACGTAAAGCAACTAAAGTTCTTGGTGTTGTTATGGGTTGTTTTATATTATGTTGGTTACCATTTTTTATTGAAGAAACAATATGTGGTTTATTTCATTTAACAATAAATGAAAAAATTATTAGTGTTTTAACATGGCTTGGATATTTAAATAGTCTTTTAAATCCTGTGATTTATACAATATTTTCACCTGATTTTCGGCAAGCATTTGGAAAAATTTTATTTGGAAAATATCGTAAAAGAAGACGAACAAAGAAATAATTATTGTCTCTTTTTCTTTTCTTGTTCGTATTATATATATATATATTTAAATTTCTATATGTTTATGTATGTTTTGTTTTCTTTTGTTTCTTGTTTTTGTCTAATTACATACCGGTTATTAAAAAAACAAGTCTTTTTTTATAAATTCTCAGTGCGCATTGTGCAGTAATTTGTGTATTTTTTTTCTCTCTTTGTTTTTTTTGAAGTAAAAAGCTTAATTTTTTTTATTTCAAATGTAATCATGCACTTTGTTGATATTTATTCCAAACTAGATAAAAATTAAATATGTATTCCAAAAAGTAATTTTAAGACTTCAGATGACATTAACAAATTTCAAAATATTTCGTCTATTTTTCATCAGAGTTCTACGTATTTTTTTATGGAGCAAATAAATATTTCATCAGGATTTTTAAAACCTTTTTTTAGACTTAAAGCAGATAAAGTTTTTCAAAATATTCATTCTATTATCAATTATTTAGCTATCAATTATTTCCAAAGAATAGAAAGATATATATAAATGTATTTTTCAGGGTTATTCTTAGAATCATAAATGCTATGAAGTTATAGGAACGAAGTTGAATCCTATTAATCGACAAACTTATGATGAAAACAGAAAAAAAAAGAAATATTCACTACTTCAGTTTATTTTCTATCATTATCTTTTACATGCGATTATGGTGTCATTGATCTCAATTCGCATTTTGTTTTGTCTCGTATTTGTATTTACAATAATTCATAGAATTAACACTTATCGTATTTACCATCCAGAAAATGCGTTAGTTAATACCGATCATGAACGAATTACAATGCAAAATGCTGGACAATATCAACAAAAACAGGTGCAACTTCGAAGTGTTCTTTGGCCAAAAATTTGTTTTACAATGCTAAAAGAATATCATGGTTATCAATATTCACGAGATCCTCATCATAATCATATGTTCCAGCAAGTAACACGAAAATGTTTTCCATTAGAAATTCAATAGTTTTTGAATTTTTAATAAATTAAATAATAAAAAAAATCTTATCATTTGAACAAAAACCTTACAACATACCAACATTGACATAGGCTTTTGTTTGTTAAATTTTGAATACAATTAATAAAAATGCGTAATTCGCGCTCTCACTATAATCTATTTCAATTAATTTAGAAATAAAAAAAAAACTATGCCATTAGCAATAAATGATTTACAAATTCGAAGTAAGCATGGTCATTGTCCAATTGATCCTACAAATGAAACATGTGAAAAATTTTTTCAAATATGGTCTCATAAAGCAGCTAATATATCTAATGATTTAATTGAATTTACAATACGACGAATGCAAAGTGATCGTCTTCGTTTTTTATTTCAAACACGTAATGAAATTACTCAACGAGAAAGTATTTCACCTATATGTCAAATATCAACACATATTGGTGATGATTTACAAAGAATAAATGAATATATACGTCGATTTTGTTTAAGTACAAGAAATCTTTATCGACATTTACGTTCAGATTCACGTCTATATCCTAAAATGTGCATTGAGTTAGATGAAGGTATTATAATTAAAATTTGTCGATTTATATTTAAAACTAAAGTTTTGATTAAAATACTTTCAAAAGAACAACATTTAAATGTAGAACAACGTGAACAATTAAAAAATTATAAAATAAAACAGAATGATAAACAATTTGATATAAATGATCCATATAGAAATATTACAAAAGCATTTATTGCATTACAATCAAATTTTGAAATACTTTTTGGTGATATTGTAGATAAAGATTTTTTTCAAAATGCAAAAACAGGTATTCTAGGAAAAAGATTTATTAACAATAGAATACTTTCAATTGTTCAATTCTATTTGACTTCGTATTTTAATTTAGTGTAGACGTTTATGAGATTAAGAAAAATACAAAAAAAAAGATTTAACAATTCGACGATGAGATATTATACATTTTCATTCTCGTTTGGGGTGTTCTTTATACATTTTTGACATTTGCAGTATTATAATCAAATAAGATAAGACGAGTTTCAAAATGTTATAGAAAATGAGACAATATGTCTGTTAATCAACAAAAAGATTAGAAACAGTATCTCTTAGGTCAGTACTGTATGAATAGGAGAGACAAGGTTTTCAGCATTCATTCCATATGTGTTTCCACGAGTCATTATCCTGTCTAGAAAACTTATGAATTCTGAATCTTTTAGATTTTTAAAATTCTTATAGTGATCGAATCCTAGCAGACTATAAAATCATTGAGGATCCTACAATTCGAGATATTCTCTTATCAATATACTTAGTAAAAAATTTATTCAATAAACACATGTATTAAAAAATCTTCAATTAAAGCTGTTCAAGCCCTACCAATAATATTGGATACCAGTAAAACTATTCGATTAATTTTTTGCACATTATATAAACTTACTGAACCTGAGCGTGAAGCAGAAAAAGAAGCTATACGTCAACGTCGATTAAGTAGAAAGAAACCTCTATTCAGATTTTCATTATCAATAAATGCTTTTTCTTCTAAGACTTTTGTATTCGTGACTGTGGCTCAAAAAAGCAACAATCTCTAACTACAAATATTCCAATTAACAATCAAGCTAATACTAAATTTAAAAGCATAAATAAAATGTTGAAAAGAAATCAATCACAAATAACACATACTAAAACACCATCATTATCTCCGAAAACATTTGCAAAAGATAAATCAACACATCAACAAACTACTAAAGTTAAAAACAATAATATTTCCTTTTGATAAATCTCATTGTTGTTTAGACAAAAGAAAATTCAATGAGAATACAATCTCCCAAGTAATAAATTATTGCTTTTTGATTTAACACAAAATAAAAACTTCTTTTTTTGTTTTAAGATCTCAATCGCGTACACCAAATACAATAAGTAAATAGATTCAACTGGTAGAAATAAATATATATCGATTTTAGCTTTAAAAACTAACAAAAACGGTCAATCATCATCCATGTAAATTTGTCGTTGTACATCAATTTAAATTAATCACTTCATTAGTTTTTCTAGAGCTAAGACAAACATTAATTCCTCGAAGAAAAATTTTGCAAAAGAACAAAACAAAGTATTTCGATTCCATTTTTTCTTTTTGTTTAAACTATGAGTTGTTTTTTGTATGAACAACTAGACAAAAATTTTAAACCTAAAAGACAATAAAACTCAAATATATTCAAATACATGATACTATTTATTTCTTTTTTTTTCTTCCATCAGAAGAAATCAAAAAATAAAAATGCATCAACAACAAATTCAGTATTCTCAAGCCAGTATCATGAAAATACTAATTCCATAAACATTAATAATATAAGAAAAAAATTTAAAAACTCAAACGCTGATCAAACTGAAACATCGAACAAAATAAAACTCGGTTGGACAACATGGTTAGATAATACAAATCTTAATCTTACAACTAACATCACATCAAATCAAACTAATACCAATATGAATGATAGGGGTACGCAAGCTCAGTTTTACTTCGAATTTAAGGGATCCTTGAGAAAGTTCTCTAATTTGAATTGATTTATTCGAGTAGTTCAGTTCAGATCTTAGAAGCTGTTCAAATAGTTTTTTATTGCTAGGAACTGTTCTGTTTCCTAGATGTGCACTTCTGGGTTTAATAAGCCTTTGATCTGTTTTCGAGGACCATACCCTCCAATTGAAAAATCTTTGTTCTGTTATTATAATGCTTAACCAAAAGCACAATAAAATTATTCAGACAGCTAAGTATTTGGATCTGAATTAATTGAACAGTTCTTTTGTTTGGAATTGATCTTTTTCAACAGTTCATTAGATTATTTGGTCTAAATTTGTTCTAGATCTCGAGAATAATATTCATTTAAATCTAATCAATAATTTATTTTTCTTATTAGATATAAATTCATCAAAGCCTTTACTAACAACTTGGGCTGCACTTGAACGAATATCAAAAATGTGATTATGTTTTTGAAATAATATTTAACTTCAGTCTAGCTCATTTAATAACTAAAATATTTATTCATTAATTAAATATTAATTATATTTAATCAATTATTAAATGAATTAGTCACCAATCATATTGAAACATTACTTAAATAAATCGATTTTTGTCTTTTATATTGTAATCAATATAAATCCTTTTTCTAAAGAAAACATGTCAATTTAATTTTAAGTGTATTATTGATAAAATGATGTTTAGAAAAGAAATGAACTAAAATTAGTTGTTATTCAAGATACTATTTATGAAATAGTCTATGATCAATGTTCATCCTTGAAGAAATTTTATCAAATATTCTGTAATAAAAGATAAAATTAATATAACTTTTAATCTGATATCTACGTTGGATGTATCAATTATATATAGTGGTTTGCACAAAAGCTTGGTTTCATATTTTTCAATATTGTTCTTATGAGATTCATTCATTTTGGTTAGTCTCAGATTAATTGAATAACCCAACAAAGACATCATCTATGTGTGTATTTTGATATTATTTCCACCCATTGTTGGAAGAAACATGACGGATAGAATTGATACAATTGTAAGTTTCTAAAGAATTTGCAATGGATCAGAACAACCATTTAATGATCGCAAATGCTAGAAAGCAATACCAAGTTACTTTTACAATATGAAAACTGAAAATTTATATATCCACTGTGAGGAATACGAACAAAAATAGATAAAATTTCTCAAAAAAAAATTGAATTCAATTGCCAAACAAGTATCTTTCAATTCTATGTAATATTTAGAAAAGATTTTAAAAATGAATATGCATATTGAGAAAATCAATCAGTACGTAGTATTCATTTTGGATTATCCGACTACATCAGAATTAACAACAATAAATGATTCCTATGAAACTGGTATAAAAATTGATGGGCCTAAATTGTTTTGAACACTACTGTGTACATAAAACGACTAACGAGAAACAGTACCCAACTGGAAAAAAGACTCATTCGAATGGATTGACATGACTAGATTTCTTCCGACTTCAAAATTGAATTTTAGCGTC